GATCCTATGAGGGAACTAAACAGAGTCACCCTGCTTGTTTTTATTGAGGTGAAGCTGGTCATTTTTCTAACAACTGCTGGGTTAGGAACAAAAAGGAATGAGTCTGGAAACCTAAAATAACAAATGAGGCTTCTACCTGTAAGTATAACCAAAAAGGACCCAAGAAAACTTGGGTGCCTAAGAAAAAGTAATTTATTTTTTATGGAGAAACACCGCAAGAAAAATAAAAAAAAAAAGGAAAATGGTATCTTGACAGCGCGTGTTCAGACACATGACCGGTGACAAATAAACTTTTTAAATATGTCACAAATTTAGATTGCGGATCAGTTACTTTTGGAGATAAATCTATAGGAAACGTCATTGGGGTAGGAAAAGTTCCCTTTAAATTCTACATGTTAAGTAGACGAACTCTATCTTGTTGACGAACTAGGATACAACTTACTCAGTATCAGTCAGCTATGCGATAGCGACTATGAGGTACGCTTTAAAAAAACTAGTTGGTCTATAATAGATGAATGAGGTAACTCTATTCTTTCTAGAAACAGAGACAAGATTGTTTATACTCTTAGCAAATAGATAATCTTGATAATCATATTTGTATGGCATCTATGATCGATGACCCATGGTTATGGAATAGAAAACTAGGCCATGCAAGCATGCATTCCATTGAAAAGCTTTCAAAATAAGATCTAGTCATCGATCTTCCAAAACTGAATATTTCAAAAGATCATATTTGTGATGCATGTCAACTTGGAAAATAGACTAGATCCCCCTTTAGACCAAAAGACATTGCTTCTACTTCAGAACCTTTGCAACTACTCCACATAGATCTTTTTGGATCCACAAAGACCTCCAGTATAAATGGTAAGAAACATTGTTGATGATTATTCTCGTTTCGCCTGGGTTATTTTTTTGAGTCACAAAGATGAGGCACTAAAGAACTTTGAAGCTTTTTGCAGAAAGTGCAACGTGAAAAAGGTCTCTACATTTTCACAATAAGGAGTAATCATGGAGGAGAATTTTCAGTTTAATTATTCGGACGATTGACACCCCTTGTGGCTACAACTTGCTCATTCTTGGGCGTTGGGTAAAATAGAATATAGTAGGGCAAGATTTAGTCTGTGGCCAAAATTATTTATATCCGGTAGTTGTAATGTGTATAAAGTTTGTATATTTTTTTTATATATAACATACAAAAATGTATATATATATAGTATATTTTTCATCTATTATTTTGAGAGCGGCTATACAGTATAGCAGTGAAGAAATATGGGGAGAGAGAAAAAGAAAACCAAGATATTCTCCCATAACTCCTGACCTTACAACAATCTTAAATTTAGAAAAAGAACAATCATGAATACGATAACATGCTTAAGGTGCACTCTGAATTGATCAAATTATCGTGATTTGTATACGTTCGCGTGACATAGTTACGATTTTCAAAATTAAAACCAAGATATGCGTTCGCGCAACTTTGGACAAAATAATCTTAATAATAATAATAGTGTTATCAATTGTGTACACGTACGCGTGACATGAATTTTAACGCCAAACAAAATGAGAATACGTACGCGTGACTCGTTTCAAGATAATTCCATAATTACGAATAATTAAGCAATTAAAAGTGGTTTAAAATATTTCTGCGCAACAATTCAACCAACAACGGGCGGGATATGTTTCTCTCTCGGCATGTTAGCTTAACCTGCGCCATCCATGGAAAAGAGAGTGTGAATTCCCTCGCATAAGGAATTAGTGGCCCAGGAAGTTGCATCACATGGAGGAAATAGACTATCTGGACATTGACACACCAACATAGAGTATTTTATCAGCCTGTGGGATATGGCTGGAGGCCAAAATTTGCACTGAATGTATGTGATTTGGTCATGTAGAAGAAAATTGTTGGAAACATGAACACAAAGAGGAGGAGAAGTTCCAAGCGCCTAAACGGAGGTAAAGAAGCAACAAAGAAACTTGCAAAAAATGGAATGGCAAGTAAAAGCAACTGCTGAAACAACAAATGAGACTCAGATTGACACTGCCAAACAACCTCCTACTGGAAAGGATAAGGAGATTACTGCCACAAATCATGTGCTATCTAAAGTTGATCAAAGTAAGAGCCAACCTGAGATAAGTAATCAACCTGATAAGAATGAAAGAAGTAATAACGAGGTTAGAGTAGCCACCACTAACAGGTACTCTGCCCTGGAGACTGCAGCTACTACATCTGAGGAGAATGGGTTTAGGCCCCCATGATAATAGCAATATGGAACATTAGAGGGCTTAATAAGCCCTTCAAACAAAAAGAGTTTAAGCTCTTTTTGAATAAGAATAAAGTAGATCTCATTGGATGCATTGAGACTAGAGTTAAAGAACCAAAATCCAAAATAATACTGAATAAAATAGTACCTGGTTGGGAAGCATGCTACAATTACCCAAATGCAGTGAATGGGAGGATATGGTTACTGTGGAAGAGACACCTAAGAGTCCAGATTATTAGCATAGCCGAACAGCTAATCCATTGCACAGTAGAGGAGACTACTGGTTTCTCCACTCATCTGACTATTGTATATGCGAAGAATGACCTTCAACAAAGAGATACTTTGTGGAATGAACTGAGATTTATTGGGAACCAGATACCGACTCCTTGGCATATATGTGAAAATTTTAACAATGTGCTATCTACTGAAGACAGGATTGGAGCACCTGTAACTCAACAGGAGATACAGGAATTCCAACACTGTATTGATACATTGCAGCTTAGTCCGCTGAAGACAATTGGTTGGCATTTCACTTGGTGCAACAAGCAGCAAGGCACTAGCAGGGTGTACAGCAAAATTGACTGGGCATTTAGAAACTATCACTGGTTGCAGAAACATGGGCACATTGAAGCTGACTACATGAATCCTTCAGTATCAGACCATTCACCAATTCTTATCCACTATGGTGCAAGGATTGAGCTTCACCCTAGACCTTTTAAGGTCTTCTCAAATGTGCTACACCATCCTGAATTTAGGAAAAAGGTTGAGAATACATGGCACTTGACAGTGAGGGGTGACCCTAGACATCAAGTGTTGAGGAAGCTACACCTTCTAAAGGATAATTTGAAGGAGCTGATAGCATATATGGCATCATACAAACAAAAGCTTGAGCAGTTGAGAGAGGAACTAGAAGTAACACAAGCAAATCTCAAACACCAGCCACACGACCAACTCCTTATTGACAAAGAAAGACAAATTTTGCTTCATTTGGAGAAGTGGAGCAGTATAGAAGAATAGGTTCTAAGGAAAAAATCAAGGGCAACCTGGATTACTAGTGGAGATACTAACTCCAAATACTTTCATGCACAATGGAGAATGAGAACTGCCAAGAACACTATCACTTCAGTTTATATTGAGTGTGGTATCAAACTCACAGAACCCAAATTGGTAGAAAAGGAATTCATATCCTTCTTCGTTGGGCTTATGGGGGAAAGAGCCTCAGAACTACCTTGTCCAAATGCAGAGGTAATAAAAAAGGCACTTGTTTGAACTATCAGCAACAATGTCAACTAGTGCAAGAGGTAACAAAATGATGAAATTCTGGAAGCCATAAAAGAAATGCCCCTAGACAAAGCACATAGAGTAGATGGCTATCCTATTGAATTTTTTGTCAAGCAGTGGGAGGTGGTAAGAGAGGATGTCTATGGAGTTGTACATTACTTCTTCCAAACTGGCAGCATGCTGCATGCTATCAATTGTACTGCAATCATACTGGTACATAAGGTTCCTTCACCAACTCAGATAAAGGACTATAGGCCAATTGCATGTTGTACCACCCTGTACAAGATCATAGCCAAAATTTTAACTAGACGATTCAGCAAGGTTGTTGGTGATATTGTCAGCCAATCCCAATCAGCTTTCATCAGAGGCAGATCCATCATGGACAACATACTCTTCAGCCACGAAATTTTTAAGGGTTTTGGTAGGAAAGGTTTATCCCCTAGATGTGTATTAAAAGTGGACCTTAGGAAAGCATATGACACATTGGAATGGAGCTTTATCAGAAGAGTCATGGTCGATCTTTGCCTTCCCCACAAATTTGTACAATGGGTCATGGAATGCATATCTACTGTTCCCTATTATCTGGTCATTAATGGAGGGCTCACCTAGCCTTTTCCTGGGCAAAGAGGAATCAAACAAGGGGATCCTATATCCCTCTATCTCTTTGTCATAGCTATGGAATATTTGCAAAGATAGATGAATCAATTGATCACTAATGGTGATTTTAATTTTCATCCAAAGTGTAGGAAACTAGGAGTTACTCATATTTGCTTTGCCGATGACTTGCTTATGTTCTGTAGAGCAGGTAAGGAGTCTGTTAGACTATTGAACGGTGCTTTTCAAGCATTCTCACAAGCTTCAGGTCTACAGGCTAATGCTACCAAAAGCTCCATTTACATAGCTGGTATGACAGAGGACATTAAACAAGACATAGTGCAGCTCTTGGGATATTCCTTGGGCGATCTACCTTTCAAATATTTGGGGGTTCCATTGTCGTCTAAAAAACTTTCAGTGGCTCAATGTCTGCCTCTTATTGAAAATATTACTGCTAGGATAAAGTGTTGGTCTGCCAAACTCCTCTCTTATGCAGGCAGACTTCAGTTGATAAAATCTGTAATATTTGGAATATAAACTTACTGGGCACAGATCTTTGTGATACCAAAGAAGGTAATGAAAGCTATTGAGAATCTATGTAGAACCTTCTTATGGACTGGAATGATAAATCTATCAAAGAAAGCACTGGTGTCTTAGGACAAAGTGTGTTTACCCCAAGCAGCTGGAGGCTTGAATGTCCTAAATCTATGTATATGGAACAAGGCTGCAATAATAAAGCAGTTATGGTCAATTGCACAGAAAAAGGACTGCCTCTAGATAAAGTGGGTACACAGCTACTACATCAAGAAACAAACTCTTGACTCCTTCCCTATACCTAAGACAACAGCTTAGGTAGTTAGGAAGATTATGGAAACTCGAGATATGGTTATACAACAGGTTGTGGTACAAGGCGACTTACTTGCAAAGTTAGAAACAATGCAGAACATGGATGGTTCCTTCTCTATTAAAAAGATGTACCTGCACCTGATTCCTCGTCACCCCAAAGTCCCCTGGAAAATCCTTACACTGCAGGGAAACATCCATCCACGAGTGAAATTTATCCTATGGTTAGTAGTGCAAAACAGGCTAGCAACAATGGATCGACTGCAGATGATAGACATACAAGCTCCTATGCCTTGTGTTTTCTGTCATGGTGGCATTGAAACTCATGCAAATCTATTCTTTGAATGCCCTGTTACGCGTGCATTGTGGCTGAGATTACTGACTTGGCTTGGGCATATCAGGAACAGAGGTGATGCTACACATGAATTACAATGGGTATGCAGTATGGCCAAGAGGAAGAGTGGACTGGGAGCTATCACTAGCTGTGCATATGCGATGGCAGTCTATGTCATGTGGAGGGAGAGGAATCTGTTAAGGTTCCAGAAGAGCTCTTATGATGAAGATAGAGTCAGTAGAGAAATAGCAGTACATATTCACATTAGAGGACAAAACCTTAGGAAATGGTGCAAGCCTTTGAGTCTGCTGAGTTCACACCCTTAGCGAGATAGCTGAACATTTTCTTGTTTTCCTATAGTTAGTATAGCTAAACTAGGGGCTGTCGGATGTAAATAGGAGTGCAAGAGGTCGGCTCTTTGCCTGGAGTCTGTAAATGATACTTTTTTGGTTAATAAAAAAGCTATTTACCAAAAAACAAAAACAAGCACTTAAACATTTTATAATTTTATCAACATGCTCATCTCACTAGCGTAGCAAAACTGCAAAATTATTTCCAAATTGATCACAAAAGAAACGTGGCATCAGGTCTACAACCACCAAATTTAGATATTTTCACTATCGATTTTGACCAATTTATAACCCGGAAGGGCCAGAACAATCAATATTTGTTGCCGTATAGCTTGTGCAAAAGTTATACAGACTGAAATTTCACCTTTAACTCACCTTCTTAATGATGACCCGGCAATAGATAACCAGTCGCCAACACGAACATCCTGGTTCATTAGCACAAAAACTGAATGTAAAACTGTAAGGTATTTAAACTCAACAACGTGCTATTTGTAACATACTTTTGGTCTACTTCATCCATCTACCATTGTGCTGCTTAAGCAAAGGGTTCTCCCCCATGGCTCCAACTTGATCATGATTACATTAGGTAAACTCGTAAGCAGGAAAGTAGAAGGAATAAGAAGAGAACTAAACCATGAAACAAATGGAGGAGGAAGCCCCACATGTTGCAGCCCAGTGTTGTCAAAAGCGAAAAGCTCTAAACTGCACTTCAGGTCTATTGGGCTTTAAGCGCAAAGCGCACTTAAAAGTGTTGGCTTTAGTAAGAAAAGGCGCAATGAACGGAAAAAACAAAAATATATATGTAATTCAAGAACAAAGTAACAAATTCATTCATAACGTTTTCCTTTACAGCTGTCACACCTATTTCCTGATCATATTTGTTGTTTAGTGCCACTTGATTCATGATAAAATTCATGGGCAATGAGGCGCATGTCTTAGTGTCTTGCCTTACACTGAAGCGCAGCTTAAGCGAGGCGAAGCGCCCTCCCTGAGCTTTTCTGAGCTTCAGGGTGTAAGTGCGCCTTAAATGAGCCTTTGACAACACTGTTGCAGCATTATCTGATCAAGATCCATGGAATTTCATAGCAGCAACAAAACCATGCATTCAAAAACAAATCCAGATACTCACAAGAACCCACCTCATTCACCAGCGTACTGCATCATCCAATTCTTGAACAACATACCATTGCAAGCTCATTGTACAGTCATGAAACGGGGTCTACCAATCATTTTCAAGCTCTTCCACCTGTCGATGCAAATCCAAAGTGACACATCACCATGGTTTGGTAGCTCCACAGGGTATGAGGGATGACTTGAGCTGGCAACAACAGCTTGTTCAGAGAAACCACGCCTTGTAATATAAGGTCAACCTTCTGCAACAGAAGATACAGCTGCATAACCCAAGCGAATTCGATTTGGCAAAGGCCTTGCAATGAGACTGTCAATCACCCAACTTGCTACTTCACCATCATTTTTGACATGATTATACTCTCTCTCAACATACTCCAAAGATATCTGCAGCCTTCCCCCAGGCCTGCAGTCATTAGCTATACTGCTCGACTTGATTCCTGCATTTTTCTCCAACCAGTACAGGTAATTGACATGAAACAATGACTTCAACATATCTTGTGGTGATGAACTTTCTTTCAGTACAATCTGCTCCAACAAGTGCAAAACAAATGTAAAATGTTAGCTAAGCATGAGGTCCCCACCCCCCACCCCACCCCAAAAAAAAGACGTTACGGCCCAAATCTCACCAAAGAAAAGGAAAGCAGAAGTGAGAGAACACCCGAAAATGAATGAGGAAAATTTCCGAGTGAAACAACCCTGCTACCCAAGCTCAACTCCCTCCCTCTCTAATGTTTGTCACTCACTGGAGTATTCATCTTTTCCTGCTAAGTGAATGATTTTTATATGAGGCATTAAGTTTCCTTTCATGGAGCTTCTCCCTTATTCATACAGTTCATCTTTTCCTGCTAAGTGAATGATTTTTATATGAGGCATTAAGTTTCCTTTCATGGAGCTTCTCCCTTATTCATACAGTTCAATATCTCTAAATGACATTTTTTTGCCAACGCTGACTCCAATAATTCACACTTAAGAAGGCCAATCTTAGATCTCAATCATCAATTTTATGTGATTCACCATACTGCTTGGTGATCACCTTAAGGTGTTTTGGGAACTACGCTGATGCAATTGCAGAACAATTGATACACTAAGAAAGAAGAGCATGTCAATTCTGGATCTCTTATCATGGTACTTCCCAACTTTGGTTGCCAATACTAGCATAAAATTTTGAATTGCTAATAACTCAATGAATGACCTCATAACTCACCAGTGGTGATTGTGAGTTACAAAATGGATTCTGCAAAACTCTCCTATTTACTTTTCTCTTCGTAATATATAAAAATAAAAAAAGGTGGTCAAATTAGCTGGATTGCATCTGAAGTGGAGTTCCAAAACATGAAATATGCTCTCTTGAAAAAAAAAAAAGGAAAATTATATTCTTTCCTATCAAAGCCTAATAGGTGCTATGACTAAGTTTAGCTGGCTTGAATCCCCAATATTCATAGTTAATGTCCTGGTGAGAGAGTTTGATCTTTCTCTAGTAATAGTAAATACAAACAATCTCTGGAAAGGCCGAAATATGATCAACTGTTCTTGATAAAAGAAAGGTTCCTTAAGCAGAGCAATTTGAGCCCTAACTATTTATTCATCATTTTTTAGGATGTTAACACCACTCGCAGATGGTAGACCAAAAAAACTTTAGCCTGGANGGGGGGGCTGTATGGTGTGCAGCAAAATGTAAGAGGGGGGATAATGCAAGCAAAAGGAAGATTTACTTACACAAAATTTTCCTTCTTGCTCAGTCAAAATGTAACCTTCATTCTTGTATAGTTCAAACAGAGCAAGCACATCTTCTCGACTAGTAGCAACATTAGAAAGTTTAGAACCTAGCTCCAACCGTTGCACAATCCTAGCAGCTGCTTGTTTAGCATTGACAGAAAGCACTTCCGTGTGTGTCCGAGAAGACTACAATAATCAGAGAAAATAGTCTATTTTCAAAGTTTACCAGTCAAAACCAAATGATATCTTTAACCAGAAGATGGCATCAACAGAGAAACTTTTTTCCCATTCAAAACAAGGAACACACGTAACAGTTAGGGCCATCCCAATTCCCTATTCACTAAACCTTGGTACTCATTGTTACTGATTATGCTACCTTGCGAGTTGTTAGTTAATAGTTATTACATTTTCTTCCTTTTGTGTTGGAATAGGCATATTTTTTTCTTAATTCCGACTACTCGTTTACAATTTTCTTACTCTTATTTGATGTTAGTAGTTGAGCATGAACACAATGCATTTATCCTCTATATCTTGATAAAACAGTTAAGCTGACCATATATTGTCTTTCTGAGGATATATCCATCTTTTCTATTAGCAACTTATAGAATGATATAAGAGTATACCTACCTCCCCGGCACCACCCCAAAGTAAACATGTTTTACTGCATAAATATAGATCAGAAATTCCTGAAGTGTATTTTATATATTCCGAGGAGACGTGAAAATTTGTTTACATAGTAAAACGTCACCACACAAAAAAAATAACTAAATAAAGGTCCTCAAGTTTGCACAGATGTGAGGAGAAAATGTCTTATGAAACTAGTAAAAGTAAACGCAAACTCACTTCATGTGCTGCCTTTAGATTTAAAAGAGCAGCTGGGAAAACAGGCTCCTCGTCATTGACCTCTTTAACAGAAGGAACTAGACCACTGAGCAGATACTCACTGAAGACTAAACCTGTCAAAAAATAGACTCTAAGATAAGATTAAACAAGGAAATATTAAGCGACAAGTCTCAACTACTTATTAGAACCTAGTAAGAATTCTATTAAATTAAAGCAACAAAAGATTGGGCAGGATCAGCAACCTTGCTAAATCAGCAAAGACCTGTAAATTTCATTTTTTTTCTTTCTTTCCTCCCTTTTTCTTGTGTATGAGTCTATGCAAGAGCATGAAGTGCAAAAACAACACAAACAACCCAGCTTAATCTCGTTTTTCTTTTTCTTTCTTCCTCTAGTTAATATATTAATATTCTTTTCTTCGTTCTTTTCGAAGTTGAGCATTGTCAGATTTCGATAAACTTGATGGCTTCTTTGACGTACTATAGCTATTAGTAGTGTCCAAGTGCACATGCTTACATTGGACACTTTTCCAGCAGTTAATAAATAAAGTCAATATCTATAATCCAGATGTACTTTCCAGACACTAAGTGATTACCTTACAGATCATGTCTTTAACGCTCATTCCTTTGTCTTTTTTGGGGGGAAGAGGGGGGGATCAAGATCTTGTACACTCATTTTATCAGTAGAAAGAAGAAGATAGGGCACTCTAGTAGAAAAGAATCCACTGATATCAGTTTAACCCACAAAAAAAGCATAAAGTAAACTTCCTTGTGCTTTTAAAAATTGATTGCTTTTATCTTAAGATATAATAAATAAAGAAGAGAAGTACTTGCACGATAAGGATTTAAAGTCCTTAGTTGAATGGACTGATATGACTTCAGATTACAGAACATGTGGATCCAAGTTACCACTCCAAAAGAAGCAAGAGCAAGAGATGTAGAAGAGCGAGTGCAGTTAGCCAGTGCAATGCCAAGCATGATTCCAACTGCTTTGCTCACCATTCCTTGAGCTTCACCCTTTGCAATCACCTGCCATTAGTAACTGATTCAGAATAGAAATGTTTTTCTTCCAGTAACTCCTCGCAAAGCATATGCAAAAATGTATATGTGGTTCTTCCAGGTAATCAACAGACAGATTGGAACATTAGAAGTTTCATGCCCCCAACATATTTTGACAACCAAAGTCAGCATAGATAAGTAAAAAAATTACCTCCGCGAAATTCCTCTGAGCAGCAAAACCCGCATAGAAGCAGCTCCTTGTAGCAGCCTGTAAGCCAAATGTTTTTGTTTATTGCTTACTGCATGAACCTTAATCTCCTTTTTTTTCTTTTTTTTTCTATTGGGGGTGGGATTGTGTGGGGCAATAACATCCAATTCTTCCCTGGACTGAGAGATATAAATCACATAAATTAATGAAAACGCCTAAGGGAATCTTGCAGTACATCTTTAAGACACAATATCAGCAATATAGTTCATTTGCAGTAACAACATGCAGATCAGAAGCTTGCTCTTTTCTAATCATGATCAGATTCACATTTGGATTCAAAAATATTACCTGGATTAATGAAGCGGCTGATCTCCCTGCTCCAGCAACAGCTCCGATAGGAACAAACAGATGTGGGAAGGCAGGGGTCAAAATCTCCAGCCCATAAGCAGCATTCTCCAAAAGGTCTGCAAACAGCCTCCAGCTCTTAGGATTGACATCAAAATGCCTGCCATAATTCGACAAAAGTATCTTGCTAAGATATCCAATGCCATCCTTAAGCACCCAATTGACAGCTGCAGCAGTAGGAATAGCCCCTTTCCCTAATCCAACGGCGTAAAGCAAAGCCTATACATAACAAAGAATGAAAATCTATCAGCAGCACTCCTATGAATTTCTTCCTAGGATGATTCAAGACAGCAACGGTGAAAAAGAAGAAAAAACAGAAAAGCATATACGTAATCTATTAGACTTCGTCCGGACAGGGTGACTAAGTGGTTGACGAGATCAGTGTTTAGAAAAGCGATCGCTTCGTCGCTTTAAGCGCGAAGCGACGCGACGCGACTCAGTGTCGCTTCTAGCTGCCTGAGGCGACTCGACCGAGGGAAGCGCACGCTTCAACGGAGGAATCGACGAAGCGACGAAGCGAGTAAAGCGACGAAGCGATCGCTTCTGTTAAAAAAGCGCAGAGGGCCCTTTTTTAAAAAAAAAAACTTTGGGTCTGTTTTTTAATTATACAAAACAGACCCTAAATTGACAAAAATTGGTCATTTCTTCTTCTCTCTTCTTCGATCGAGGTCGACCAAAGCCTAGGGTTCAACTTCATCGACATTGCTGATCAGTCCAGGTAATTTTCTTCTTCTCCTTTCTTTTTCTCTTTTTTTTCTTTCTTCTTTCTTTCTTCTTCTTGGTCCCGTCAGATTCTGCTTTTTTTTCTTTCTTTTTCCTTCTTTCTTCCTTCTTCTTCTTCGTTTATCTCTGAGACTCTGACAGTCCAGTTTGCACTGTTCAGACTTCAGACTTCAGCGTCTTCTTCTTCCTTTTATCTCTAACCCATTTTGTTTTTTTCCTCACTTTTATTCTTCTTATTTATTACTTTTAATATGTATTTTAGTTTATAAAACTAATTATTATTTATATATGTTATATTTTTCAGTTAATTTGATTTTTTTAATGTATATTTCAGCATATAAAATTAATTATTATTTATATATGTTATATT